TTAGTACCTGAGTGTATGCAGAGTGTGTGAGTGTATACCCTGCATAAAGTGTGAGTGTATGCCCTACAGAGTGTGTGAGTGTATGCCCTGCATAGTGCATGAATGTATGCCATTCACAGTGCATGAGTGTATGCTCCGCATATTGCATGAGTGTATGCTCCACGTAGTGAGTGAGTGTATTCCCCGCATAGTGCGTGAGCATATGCATTGCATAGTGTTTGAGTGTCTGCCCTGCATTGTGTTTGAGTGTATGCCCTGTATAGTGCGTGAGTGTATGCCCTGCATAGTGAGTGTGTGTATGCCCTGCATAGTGAGTGAGTGTATGCCCTGGAGAGTGCATGAGTGTGTGCCCTGGAGAGTGCATGAGTATTTGCCCTGCATAGTGACTGCATGTATGCCCTGGAGAGTGTATGAGTATTTGCCCTGAAGAGTGCATGAATGTATGCCCTACTGTACATAGTGAGTGTGTGTATGCCCTGTATAGTGAGTGAGTGTATGCCCTGGGCTTATGTGTGGGCTTATTCTCCACCCACCCATCCATCCATCCATTGCCTGCCGCTCCTCCGGGTCCAGGTATGTGACCAGATCACCCTCTCCCTAGTCACCTCCTCCAGCTCCTTGAGGAGAATACCATGGTGTTCCCAGGCCAACTGAGAGATATAACAGATGCATCCAATGAGCAGGTAAAGTATGCAAAATCACTTAAGAAATACTGTGGCGAAAAAAAATTCTTCCCTTTCACGAACTGTTTTCTGCTCTTTCATGAAAAATCTCAATGATAATGTGGTGTTTACCGCATTGCAGAACAGCAATATGCATAGTTTCTTCCTAATTTCTTTTTTAATTTGATTTGATTTTCTTTTTTTTTTTTAAATTATATGATGTTTTTTATTTTGAGTTTACCCTCACCACCTCAGTTCCTTCTCCCATAGTGCAAAACCACCAGAGTCATATTTAGTGAGTTCTTTTTGGAAGCAATAACCACTCTCAGTGTAATTTGGTATTGCTTTCATATCCTAAAATCCCAGGGTGCCTGCCTGCTCCTTTATTTCCGGAACTTTCACAATAAATATTCCACATTATGTTATGGAATGGTGGCATCAGACCCCGGTGCTGCCCTGCCTAGTCCCCTGTGCTTCTGGGCTCACCACACCACTGTACCAGTGCTTACAGATGAAGGATTCCAACTATCCAACTATCCAACTGGCCCAGCATTCTGGGTTAATTGTAGGCAATTTTTCCTTTTATTCCTAGTTGTTCTCAACATTGCTGCTTGCACAGGTGATGCCGTGAAAGTTTGGCAACTTAAACATCTTTCTCAGTCTGTCATAGACAGACTTATACATAAGGTACAGTTTTAATATATAAAATTCAACATTTATACTTATAACAGTTACAAAGACAAACAAGGACATGGAAAAGGGAGATATGATATCAATAGACTTGAGGCATATCTGTAACCATTCTTTCTAGGTAGTAATTTTGTCTATCAAGCAATGAAAACTAAATAAAAATGCATTTGTGTCTCTTCTAACGTTTCTTTTTCCACTCAATTAGATTTACAATATATGTATACAGATATTGCACTCACATGTACACTATATACAGAAAGTCTGCTTGCATTTTAAAACAATAATTTAAAAAATGAGTCTGACTGCCCTCTAGATGATCCACAAAGTTATTTACTACCTCTTGATGGCAATTAGTACAGAATAAAGGCAACCACTCTTTCACAAGATCTAAAGGAATTGACCCAATGATGAGTAACAAGGAACTTCCGTGAAATCTTTTAAGTAAAGTTTGGAATTGACATAGATGACAAAGATATGATATGAAGATTTTAAAGACTGGTGTACAGATTTAAAAAATGCATCCCTTGAAACACTCTCAAGACCATCATTAAGAAGAGGAAGCCATATGTTATATAGACCTTGCCTAAATGAGGTCACCCCACCAAAGAAAGCAGCACATAAGTTTGCTTAACATATGCAAAACACCCGGGGCATTCTCAGGCATCATGGAAATTAGATGGTCTGATTAAACTAATATAGAACTTTTTGGCTTAAATGCAAACACTATGTCTGACAAAGATGACGATATGTACTGTAAAACATGGTGGAGACAGCATCTTTTATAGGTGAAGGTGATGCACCAAATTTGGGAAACTACTGTTTATTAGGGAATAGAAGTTTGATGTTTAACACAAAAGTGTTGAAATACACTGCATGGGCTGTAATGGAGCATCTAAATTGCAAAACATAATTCTGATCTCAGTCTGAACAGCAGTGCTGTGATTTTAAGAGGGTAGCCCAGCAATGGTCTTCTGCAGAATTTAAATAAGCCTGAGCTGTTCTGTAAGGAGTAATGGTGCTGTGCTGATGGAAGTCTACATGTAGTAAGTAGTAAAAGGGCCCTGTTATACTTTCCCAATTTTTCCTTTCTGTTAAATGTGTTATATAGCTTTAGGTGCATGTAAACTGTCTGCAAAGTCTTAAGGCCCAAAGTACACACCAAATGCCTTCTGCAACACGGAGAGGTCGCCCCCTAACACAATCCTTATTGGCTGCCTACTGTACCTGCAATGATCTTTCTACAGACTGCAAGATAGGAGTGGAATGTATTGGGCAAGTAGTCCCATCAGAGCACGCTGGGCTCATAAGGGGTGGGGCTTAAAGCTCTAACAGAGTGTCTGAAACAGAGGGTGAATAGAGATGTACAGTATGAGAAAAATAACGTGGTTTTAGAACACTAAAGCATGTAAATCTATTCTAGTAGATCCCAGAAATAGGGAAAATGAGCATAATAAGGCCCCTTTAACTTGTGCATGCTTTTCTAACCTCTTATTTTGAACGTCTTATTTTTTTCTCTTGAATATTGCAAGATGACAATGCAATGTACAGTGCAATTCTCTTGTCAGAATTCTATTGTCAATGAGTGTGTGGACTTCAGAGCCAGGGCAGGTTACACGCATTTACCAAAAATGAACAGAAAACATAATGGAAGCAACAAACATAACGAAAAAATGGAACGTGTTATTTCTATCCATAAACTATTAATATTGTTCAATTAAATTACAGTTACCTTCTTCACTTTTGCAATGGTTAGGTGTGGAAGAAGAATGTGAAAATGCATGAATAATGTTTGGGCACCCCTAATCTCAACCCATAACAGTCTAGCCTGAATGATAACATAAAATGTCCATCCATCCATCAATCCATCCATTTTATGTAACCACTTATCTTATTCAGGGTCACGGGATAAAATGTCTATTCATTACCAATGTCAGAACAAACAGTACTATACTGTACACTTTGCATATCACATTGCTTTGTAATTTCCTATCTAGACCTTTTTATATAATATACAAAACCATCTAAATTATGCCCCTGTATGTTTACTACTGTAGACACTGGTAGCACAACATTTTCAACTCATGATTAAAACTGCAAAAGTAACAGCACTGGAAAGTTTAAAAGTTACTGCAAGAAATGTGAGATTCCACGCTCACAAAGACAGCTAACATGTAAGTCTGGTTGCCGAGACAAAGATGTGCAGCATAACCAAGCCAAGACTTTTAATATTAAAGATAGTGTATGCACTTGCACTAGCAAATATTACATATCACTAATATTTATATATTATATAATTTTATGTAATCCAAATAATTTACAGTATCGTTTTTGCCTTACAGGTCGTCTGCAAGTTTCTGAAATCTTTAAGCAAAAAATAAATCCAATTAAGGCCTAACTGCTCACAGCCAACTCACAAATAACCAAAACCGCAAGTGTCAAATTCACAAATGTGAAGGGGTTTCTATATTTACTTTGTTGAGAATGTATCATTCTTTTCTGTGAAGACAACATCAAATATTTCTAGTTAAACATATTTCACCTCTCAATCTGGAACAGCTGAACAAGGATGCAATATTGCAGGTGGCACACCTAACAGTGACTGGTTGTCCATGGCTTTGTCACCTCTACCTTCATTTGCTGCAACAAAGTCGTAAGCCTCCCCCTACCCCTCTGGAAGAGAGGCCTTCAGTTATAAACCCTGATAGAGTGACTGTTTCTGAGGACCTTTAACATCATTTGTTGTTAAGTTATCCTGAATTTTATCCTAATACATTTGTTTGCTTATATCTATAAAAATGCACGCAAATTATTTAATGCTATTGAAAAATGGTATCTTCGACTTAAACCAATAATACATAATAGATGGTGCTGTAAGCAATTAGATCTGGAGCTTTCACCAAAAATAGCAAACTTTTTAATAACTCCAACTAAAAAACTACTGTCTAGGATTTACGTGCATCTAGCAGAATCTGATACAACACTCTCACTCCCTACCCTCAAATGGGAAAGGGATTTACTCATCAACCCAGATACTAACTTCTGGAGGCAAATTTGCTTGAATACCTTTTGAATGAATCAGAACTCCAACCTGCAGCTATTACAGTACAACATTTTACACAGAAATTTTACACAGGGCAGAGGATGTTCCAGATGGGTATCAGAAATACTGACATATGCGTAACTTGTAAGAAGGACGCACCAGATAATTACACCGGTCAACAAATTCTGGCAAAGGATTTGTGAAGACTTTATCGACACACCTAGGGCATCCCATCCCACCCTCCCCCTCACTCTGCATGCTTGGGGACCTCACTAACACTAATATAGACACAAATAAATCTTGCATGCTTCTCACAGTACTAACCATTGGCTAGAAAACAATCCTTCTGAACTGGAAGTCAAAAGAGAATTTAAACATAAATCTGTTCAAAAATCTACTCTTGGATTAAGTTTCCATGGAGAGAGTGTCTGCCTGTAAGAAAAATCAATTGATCGATTTTGAAGACAGTTGGACTCCAATAATTAATTTTTTAATGTAATGTTGGGTTCCACCTGTGCCGCTGCGCTTTGGGGGCGTGGGCTCCGTCGGCTGGGGCCGTTGCTCCGGCTCCCGGGCGGGTGGTCGCCTGCATGCGGGGGGGGTCTGGTCTACCCGGGCCCATTGCCTGGTGGGGGCAGGTCGGTGTCTGCCATTGGCGATTCCGGCATGGGGCCTTCGGGCGCTGTGGGGTGGTTGGGGGAGGCGGTGGGGGGAGCCTCTGCCTTGCTTGGGGGGGGCCTGGGGTCACCCCGCCTGGCTGGACCAGATCCCCGTTTGCCGGGGGGCCTGGGGTTGTCCCGTCTGTGGCTGCTAGCTGTGGTCTCATCGGGCGTGGTGGGGCGGGACCCTGCTGCCTGCGGCGCCCCTGAACACCCCGATTGGCCGCCCCTGCCGGCTGTGCGTGGTCGGGGATGGGGACTAATCGGGGCCAGTCGGGGATCTGGACCAGGTGCGGGAGGGGGGGGGCACTCCTGGCACACCCTTTATTGCTCCCCTGGGTCTGACACCACATTTCACACAACACTAGGGCCTTGAGGGGCAGTGGGGAGGTGCGCCGAGACACTGCCCCTCAATTTTTACTTGCTTATTAGACACCACATGACACTAGGGCTGAGGAGGTGGGTTGAGGCAGGTAGGGCTCTGCCGTCAGCCAGCTGTGGGGTGCCCGTGCCTCGACTGCTTGCCCACTTTTTGCACCTTAGTCATATACACAGTCCATATTACATTAGGGCCTTGGGGGTGTGGGGAAGGGGATGGGGGACTCTGCCATTTGCCAGTAGTGGGGCCCTCATACTCAAACTGCACCCACTAATTTTAATGCATTGTAGACATAAACACACAACTCTCTCACACACATACATGCACACTTCACATCAACATGGGACGGGGAGGCGATGGGGGCTGAGGGGCCCCGCTAACTCTCTGTCTCTGGCTCTGCGCGGGTGAGGTGGCCCGCCGGGTGGAAGATCCATCATGGGGGGATGCAGGCGGCCCTGGCCGTTGTGGGCGGCCTCCTCTCGTGGGCTGCAGGCTGGGTGGTCCTTGGCTCTGCTGCGCCATGGTGGGGCCCTGGTGGGCGGTCCAGGGAATCTTGGGACGCTCTGGGCCCTGCTGGGCGGATTGGGTGGTTCGGTTTGGGCGGCGATCCGGTTGGCGGCAATCCGTCCGACCGGGGGACGGGCTGGGGCCCCTCCAGTGTGTGTGTGGGGGGGGTGGTGGTCCTGGTTGGTGGGGCCCTTCAGCCTTGGACCCACTTTCCTCGGTGGGGGGGGTTGCAGGCGGGTCTGGGGGGCTCGCCGCCTGTCCCCCCTCTGCAGGCCTCCCTGTATGGGGGTTGGGCGGGTGGTTGTCTCGGGGATGCGTGGCCGTGGGCCCTTATGCCGTGGGGGTGGCGGGGTGGCCTCGGTTGCCTGGTTTGCCCCGGGGGGGAGGGCACTGTCACGTCCCCTGACGGCATTAAATGCCAGCACATCCAATGACAAATCAGTTCACACCTACACTTGCACATACAAAAATGGGCACATACGAGGTTGAGCGATCAATATCATTATTATTATTACAGTATTAGTTTTTAGCATATGTTATAGATATAGGAATTGAAATATACATGCATATGGGTAGGATCACGTGTGTGTATGCTACATATACACTCACCTAAAGGATTATTAGGAACACCATACTAATACGGTGTTTGACCCCCTTTGGCCTTCAGAACTGCCTTAATTCTACGTGGCATTGATTCAACAAGGTGCTGAAAGCATTCTTTAGAAATGTTGGCCCATACGTTCGCATACGTTCGCTCAAAGATCGCATTATTGATGGTATCACATATTGTTCTAATCCGTACTGTTGTGACACAGACATGACATACAGTGTCTACCAATATTAGCAGGATAGGCTCAATG